AAACATACATCACACTAAGACTAGAATAAATAATAATAAATACTAATATTTTGCTCTTTCATTTGTTGTATAATTGATAATACTCATTCACCCCGATTCTGATCTCATTAACCCTAAGAACAAATCTCCCCATCACTGCCATATATTTAAGTGGCCAGGAAGAGAAATGATAAAAACTTAGGTGATGTATATTTACTAACTTCAATTCATCTTATTTAAAATACAATATTGAATGAAATAGCCAAATACTGATAATCTCATATGACTTTTGTTCTATTTCCATTTTCAAAACTTCCTAAGTTACATATCTTCATAAAACCCACCTGGTATCTAGAGTTTGAATAACTTCCCTTGTTTTATTGAGAAAAAGTCAGATGTTTTTATGATGAAAGTTAACTCAAGTACGGTGAGAACATTATAGAGAATATATAATTCCTCTTCAAAGCAAAGGATGATTAGCTGTCAGTTTAATTAGTGCGTACTACATACGTTTTTAGTGTTTAGTATTACATTTATCATCATCACTTCAACTTATTTACATGATAAAAACACAAGAAGCAAGGAAATCATGATATCTGTCCACTCTCAAGGAACCATATAGCTACGCACAAAGATGCAGCTAAAATTTAAACAAGTCAGCATTTATCTAAAACAGAAAACAACAAAAAGAAATATGCCATCTAACCAACCGAGAAAAAAAATTGTTTTCAAGTAACCTTAACAGCACTTTATAACTTAGATACGATGCTAATGTGCGAAGAATTGGTAAGAGGTTTTGATACTTTACACTGCTCAATCAGAAGTGATGATTTTGGTCTTCATATTCTGTTTAAAGCTTTCAAATTTGTGGTTGTGGAAAAAGAAAAGAAGTTCTATGTGACTGCAATTAAATGTCTAAAACTTTAGATTGAGTAACTGACTGTAGTGAAAAAAACTCTGAATTTATTATATAGATCTTGAATTTGAGAGTAAAAACAAACATCGAGTCTGGTGGGGTCTCTTACTACATGAGTGACAGGTGTGTTAAGAAGAATGCAGTTGGGCAACTAGAACGAACTTTGATACAAATAATTTAACCCTATGTGCATGGGTGGGCATCAAAACATACATGCTATGACCTTTAATAAGAGGGTCGTTGAACTTGGTATCGTGTATTTGATTTCAAAGTTATTATCTATTCATTTCACTCTACATTACTGATTTAGTAACAGTCTGTGGTAAGGGAGAATAAATAGGAGATACAATATACAGAGATACTGAAAAACAACTGTATATATGTATTTTAGAGGTTACACAAATGTAATATGCAAATTTTACGATAAAAAAAATAGTATTATTTTTCTTTACATGAGCATCACCTGGCACTCCAATTTGTCAGAATGATGTCAAGTTAAAGACACTTATATAACACATCTAATTTTATGTAAAACAGACTTTTACATTTTACTAAAAGCTTGCCACATTTGATATAGATATATTATAGTCAACATTCCACGATACATGGTTGGTCCAATGAACCGAACCTGTGCACATTCTGGTTAATTATTATAAACATGTAACACTGAAGTATGCTCAGCTGCAGTAAATAAATACTCAACTACCAAGTTAAGAGGGAAGTTTGTAGTTTATATAAATACTCAACTGCCAAGTTAAGAGGGAAGTTAGTAGTTTATATAAATAATCAACTGCCAAGTTAAGAGGGAAGTTAGTAGTTTATATAAATACTCAACTACCAAGTTAAGAGGGAAGTTAGTCATTTATATAATTACTCAACTGCCAAGTTAAGAGGGAAGTTAGTAGTTTCTATAAATACTCAACTGCCAAGTTAAGAGGGAAGTTAGTAGTTTATATAAATACTCAACTGCCAAGTTAAGAGGGAAGTTAGTAGTTTATATAAATACTCAACTGCCAAGTTAAGAGGGAAGTTAGTAGTTTATGATTAATATTGATTCTGCAAGCATTACTATGTAGGTTTTAATCCATCAGTGTCTGATTGGATTTGCTGCTAAACATGTATATGTCACTTGCCCAATATTTATGAATTGCCTCGTGTAATTTGTCTATGTATTAATAAACAGTTCCCAGGATTACTCGTTATTTGTAGTTATAGAACTAGTTGAGGCTATTGTTGGTTACCTAGTCATAAACGGGTGTAAAACAAGATAGTTACACTATTTTGAAAATTATTACAAAATTCTCACAGACCTTAACTGTCTTGTTTACATCTTACAACTGTAAAAGGTACTGTGTTAATTAGCTGTATCATATTCATGCAAAAATCATTAATAATATTCATAAATAATCTCCACAGAAAAGTAAAACTTTTCAACAGCCAACCCATCATCTGCCTTCATTTTCCTCAGATCTTTCAAGTAATACATTACCTAGTCACAGCAAAAACTGTAAATACACTAAAATGGTAATGGTGTCTCGCTATAAATTCTTGCTAGTGAGAAATATTATAGTCCACTAATAAAACCCAACATGTCAAGTATTTCTTTGTCTCTTCTTGTATTTTATAAATATAAATGTATTTTACCAGAGTTAGATAAAACAATATGAGCTGTGGTGACCCTAAAACAACCACAGGATATCTTCGTAGGACATAAGCTATATTTCTATAATGAAGTAATATGCCTAGTATTAAGGAAACTAAGAAATAAATATAACATTTGAGTTTTGAACCACTAAAGCCACCCTTCCACCCACTAAGGCAAGCAACCAAATTGAAACTTTAAAAACAATCTCAACTTTTGCCCTTCACATCCATATCTATATAATTACTGTTCAAAGATACAAAATACAGATACACGACAATTTATCAGACAAAGTCCATTTATAATTCTATGTAAGTCTGGATTTATGTTTCAAAAGCTTACCTCTAATATTTCTACTCCAGAGAAAAGTACAAATCTCCAAGACTCTCTTGATGACTTTTCCAACTTCTTCTGTCCACTTCACTATCTTTTTAACAAAATTAGAAAAATTTCAGCTTTCTAATTAATCAGTAGTGTAGTATTTTTACAGGTTTTGTAAGTCAAGATAACATCAACTGGGATTCAAGGCAAATTCTACCAAAAAAACTATTACATTGGTTACCATAAAAACCCCTTTCAAAGTGTACTAAATTTCATTCTTTAAAACAAATTTTCTATATTACCTCTGACAATAGATCCCATTAACAACAATAGTTAAATAACAGGATAATTTTCCTGGTTCTTCTTCAAGATTGACCCATTTGAATGCTCCTAAGTGACAAAAAAATTCACTTGACTTAATTAGTTAATGTGGTTACTACTTACGAGTTAATTATATACTTTGATTATTGTTTGTTACCCATCAAATCCACTTTATTTCAATATCAAAATGGAAAAATTATGGAAAGTCTGCAGTAAAATTTGAAGTAACAGCCAAACTTACTTATAACAATTTACATAATAATAACAATTATATCAGATAAATATATCACCAGCAACATTTTTTTAAATGGAAAAACAACAAAAGTAGATATATACATACATATATATAAAACTTGAAACATTTTCATTATAAAATATATATACATAATGCAAAATACTTAATATAATAATTTCATACCACTCCAACTGAAATATTTTCTGCCTGTTTTTTAAGTAAGAACATGGCACAAAATTTTGTTATTTTACTATTTAGTCTCAGATCACAATTCAGATGTACCATGTAAATTTCCTCAAAGCTTACAATTTAAATATCACTACATGAATAACACGATTGTTTTTAATCTGGTATTTCTTTAACATTCTCTGCAAATTTTACTGTAAATTAATTTGCAATGCCTTTCTGACTAAAAATACAAAACTGTACAAGCATTTTCAGGAAGTATTTCAATTTATATTCCAATATGCAACAACTGAATAATTTTAAATCAGAAGTTTTCGAACATTAATCCTAATGCTTGTAGTTAACTTATACATACAAAATTAGAATCCCCCACCATATCATTACATACAAAACAATTTTCCCAGCTTTAAAATACATCGTACATAAACACTTTAAGTTTAATCGTTTGAATAGAAAAAATTTTACATTACACAAATCATAGTCTTGTACTTTGTAGTTATGATTCAACTATCCCATTCATCCTAACTAATCTGTTATTAGGCCTACTCTTATTACTATTAAAATCACGATGAAGGAACTGATTTTTAACTTGAAAATGTAAGTACATACGACTCCAACAAAATTAAAACCTGATCCAGGAACCACATTTTGAGATAACCCCCATAATAATAATGCTGATAGTACTATTATTTTTAATAGTCCTTACAACTTGCAATTTTATAACTGGCTCCCTTAAAATAATATTATTTGCTTTGGTACTTCGTGTGGTTTACGTTATCTGCCTCCTATGACGTTATGTTACTCATTCGAGTATTGTTAAGTAAACTTTTACTTTTAGTCTTACTGTAGTCTTAGAAAAATCCATTGCTCTCGCCTAAAATGTGTGTCAATGTCAGTAGTACTATGAAGTATGATTACTATTATTAGCAGTATGTTTATTAGTAATGTAATTAGAATTAACTAATGCTTACATTACAAGCTTAATTCAATAATTTATTAATTACTGAATTTCGTGATTTAACAAAAAGTTCTAGTTAGATTATATCTCAAAATCAACTTCCACTAAATAATCATACAAGTACTACTAGTCCAAGACAAAATAATTAATAGTTCAAAATTTCAAAAGCACTAAACTTTCATTGATCGAAAGTTTCAGTTCGAGAGGATCGTTATCCCTAAATTACAATAATAATTATTATTATAATTTCTAAAGTACAAAGACCTTCCGCTTTCGAACACCTCTTCGTTAGTTGTACTTGATAATAATATTGGGCTCTTTGTTCTACTTCGCTTCGTACCCACCAAACCAAACTCGACAAGTGCAGGCGTCTCAATATCACTGTTACGACACGCATGGCATGCGCATAAAATTAAAAGTGCCGAGTAGTGGTTTAAAGTGCCGTTTCGTCCCTTGTACAAAATGAGTTATTTTTCTCTTCTCAATATAACTCGAGTCAATGTATCTACATATAAAAGAAAAGGTTTGTTTGTTTGTTATGAATTTCGCGCAAAGCTACACGAGGGAGCTTATATGCGCTAGCCGTCCCTAATTTAGCAGTGTAACACTAGAGGGAAGGCAGCTAGTCATCACCACCCACAGTCAACCCTTGTGCTACTCTTTTTACCAACGAATAGTGGGATTGACTGTATTTATAACGTACCCACGGCTGAAAGTACGAGCATGTTTGGTGTGACGGGGATTCGAACGCCCTAACCACTTGGCCATGCCAGGCCGGGAGAAAAGGAGTAAATTATATAACAATTGTAAGCTAATTAGTCATTTATATTTGCCACAATTGGCTTGAAATGGACTTGAAATTCTACAATAAATAATATCTATGGTTTGTAACTAACGCTTAAAAAAAAAGAAAAAAGATTTGAATAATTTTTTTGGCCAATCGCCAATGACTGAATGAAACTTAACGCTTTCTCCCTGCTTAGCTGTAACAACACAACTCACTCTATGCACATGTTTCTATTGCCGATTGGCTCGAAGCCTCGTGTCGACAAATAAACAAACAAGACAACAATATCACACGTTCAAACTTAGCAACACCCACTCAGTGAGCAGCATGGTTTCGTGATGAAATCATCCAAGTATTCCTGTCTACAGGTACTGTGATTCTGTCATTTCTAGTTTTATAAAACACTTGACTGATTAATTAATCTACGAGTTAAACTTCGTGAAGTTATTGGAGCTTAACAACAATATCACGCGTATCCAATTTACCTCGGAGTAAAAGTTTAAAATATTTAAATTAATCTAATTGTTGTTTGACACCGATCATCATTAGGTTTATACATTTTAACACTGCATTCTATATTCAGTCCCTTAAAGAATTTCGAGAATTAGAAGAATGTATAATAATAGTATTTCAAATACACACACGCTTCACTTTAGTTAATCCAGAGATCATCAGACTGACTGGAGAACATCAAATAAATTAGTTATAATCATGCTTCGCCATCTTGAAAAAAATGTTCCCGCCCAAAAAATTGTGATATTTAAAGTGGGTGATGAGTAGTATAATTATAATTTTTCGCGACTGTTTTTTATTCTGATTGCATGGATTCAGCCAAGAAAGTAAAATAATTTGGTTGCTTTCATAAATACCTTTCTTATATTAACTTTATATCTGTGTAATGTGACCAGATAATTAAGTCACATATTGTTGTCAGCGAGGTCACGTGACTAGTATTACGCCACCTGTTTCTAGAAATATCCTGTTCCTTCAAGAA